AGAAACTGTATGTCATTTTTTTGTTTTTCAGGATTTCCTGACACATATTTAATTCCTCATCTTTCCACCTTTGAAAGACCTGCTTCCCTTTTAGGAGCCCTACTTTCCTCTCTACTTTCCCCTACACTTTCTAACCCCCACCCTTGCATGATCCCATTATACAGGACTTTCTTCTCAGCTAGAGGTCATGGTGGGAGAGGAATCTGATAAACTGTGTGAAGATGTTAGCCTAAGACAGCAACTCCTGCATTTCCTCTCTCCGGCAAATGAGCAGGGTGCACAGGGACTCATTTAACACCAAAGAAAACCTTTAAGAACCAAAGCAGTAAGTTGCTGATAAAATTCCAGAGACCTGGAGAAGAAGTAGGGAGGAAGGGAGTTTTTTTTTTTTTTGAGCAGGGGTTCTATTGATCATCCCTTACATCTCACTATTCAGGCTGGTACTGATTCGAGATATTTCTGACACTGAGCTTCCCTAAGGAGTTGTGAGCACATTCCCTCAGCCTTCATCTTGAATCAGTTTCGGATTGGCTGGGGTGAACAGCCAGCGTGAGGTGTTGGAGCTTCTGTGCTTTACAGTTTCCCCTGAAACGCTGCCCATCTCTTGGACATTTCACTCCTAACAAGATGATTCCTCACTGGAGGCAGGGGTAGTGAGCCAACTCTACCAGTCTCCTTGGCCTCTTCTATGTCACTGCAGTTCTACAAGAAGGTAAGGAAAGATATAAATCAGTAAAGACTTAGATTTCATATCCTTGCAATTCCCAATCCTGATACTGATGCTGAGCAGCATAAAGTCATAAGGAAGGCTATGAAGTCAAGACTGGGGGCTCTGAGCAACTTTCTTGTTGATAAACTCGAACTGAGAAATCTTTTCACATCCCTGAAGCTCCACTGGAAACTACCAGGTGGGATAATGAATAGAGGTCCTATGTATCTAACATATGAGAAAGTAGTGAAGATCAAACGGGATCCTAAATGTACAAACGTTTTGAAAACATTAAGTACTACACAAAGCTATGAATTTTAATCTTCTCCTTTGCAAAACGTATGATGAAATAGATAACTGTGAAAAGCACTTGAAATATTTTTCAATTCCCTTTTGTGTCAGAGACTGATAGTTTTATCAGTATTAATTTTTACATTGTTTCTTTAATAATAGAACCCTCCCCCCCTGTTTATCAAGGCACATGGCAACCAATAATGAAGACATTTCCTGGCCTCCTTTGCATTTACTTGTAGCTAATGACTAGGTTCTAGCCCATGAGATGTAAGTGGAAGTGATATCTGCAACTTCCTTCCCCATCCTCTCGGTTGTCTGAAATACAAATGAGATGGCAGGAGCCTCAGCAGTCACTTTGGACCACGAGTTGGAAGGCACATGTTAGTATGAAAGAGCAACAGAAGGGGGCCTGGACTTCTTTAATGGCACTCACCAGAGCTATCCAACAAGTTTGCCTTTTAAATGAGAGGACAACGGCTTTTGATCTCATTGAAGTCACTATTATTTTGAGTTTCTCTCTTAAAGTAGCCAAATGGGAATCCTATCCTATGGACTGAATGTTTGTTTTTTAATGATCTATGCTTGTCTCCTTGCCAGGTCTCCTTCTGGTAGACTTTCTTCCCCATATAAATACTATCTCTACTCAGACTTTTGAACAAGTCCTCATATTTTAAACCCTTGATTAAACTATGAAAAAGTTACCTCCTTGAGATGATAAGAAACCATAGCACACATGATATCCTTAGCTGTTGCCCAACACTGATTACTAATGTTATTAGTTATTAGGAGTATCCAAAGAATTCTCAGGGCAGGTTTTCTCTGGTTCCCAAGAATAGGCTGCCAAAAGGTTAAAAGGAGACAGAAGAGATGGTATGTCCACGATGGTAATTTAAACACACATACAAACATGCACACAAGGTCACCCCATCCCAATCTGGGGCTGCCCTTGTCAAGATAAGGGAAGGAATGTCTACCTGGGAGTTGTAGGGGTCAGTAGGATGTGGAAGTCCCTGGAGAAATTTTTCCCCCTCCTCTTGGGCTCTTAACACCAATGTATCTGGAATTGATTGGGTTTTGGATCTCAAAGCTGCTGACTCCCCATGGATCCCAAGCCCCAGATGTCTTCTGTTGGCATCCCTCCTCTGAGCGTCACTCAGCATGTAGGTGTGCAGTCAATTTTTGAAGAACAAACTGTGTCCCTACTTCTTCATTTCTATCAACATAGGACCCCAGGGATATGACAAGCGTGCTGCTTTAGAATGAAATGATATGAGGGAGGAAGCCCGCGTCGGTCTTTTTAATTTGCTCAGCACTGGCCTCGGGCCAACACAAAGAGATGGTTTCTCCTGTGAACATCCTGATATCTGGTCTCAAGTGGAGCACCATACATCATGCCTTCAGTGGCAGGCCGAGGAAAGTCTTTTGATATAAATCCCGAGATGCCTAAAGAGCAGTGTGAAGTTAGCAGAGGCTGCCTCCAAGTCTCAGCTATGCATGAATTCCCTGCCAAAAAATTTGAAGTGAGTTTAAAACAACCCAAATGCTTTCTAACTTGTTTTGATTTTCCACATGACAAAACACTGGATTGTTATTGTGTGTGCGCGTGTGTGTGCGTGCGTGTGTGTGTGTGTGTGTGTGTCACAGTGGCTGGCTGAAGGACAATTTGCAGTTCTGCCATTCTAGGCAGAACATTAGATCCTAACATCAAAATGCAAAGAGAGAGAGAGAGAAAGCTGCTCATTAATAGTAGCTGTATTCTCTTCCCTCTCAACCTCAGGAACAAATCAGTGATAAGGGAAACGCTAATATTTTGTGAGTCTAATTTCTACCCACTAACAAGCAATATTGATTTGGTCCCTTTAACATAGAGGTCTCAAAAAGTACAAGTGCCTAAGAAATCATCAATCTCTCAGCTTGCTGGTGGGTCAGGGAGGTGGAGAGGGCTGGACTCACACAAGGCAGCATGGCTCTGGGTCACGGCCGGCTCAGGGTCATCAGAGTTGTGCCCCACACATGGGTCAGCGGCAAAGCCTTCTGGACTCTAATAGCTGGCTTCTTGCATGACTGGCAGGAAGCTTTTGTCCCACATGAAAAACAGGATGGAGTCAAAAGAGCTTGCACTCTGCAGTCGGCCAGACCTAGCATACAATCCACAAGGAAGCTGCCTATTGTCTGTGGGTTTCAATTTTCTTATCTACGTAACTGGGCTTAATAATATCTACCTTGTTGTGAATAGATTTAAGGTATGAAGAGGGCCTCCCACATAAGTGACACAAGGGAGGTCCCCAATAATGCCTTCCCTCACATGACAGATGAAGCCAAGGGTAATGAGAGAAGAATTGAAGCTGCTTCTCCAAATCTCTCTGATGGAGACCCTGGGCTCCCCTCTCTACAGGCATGCACTCCATGAATGCTTGTGGGTTGATGGACTCTCAACCCCAGCGAGAGTATTCTGGAGGCTGCGATGTGGCTTATGTAAGGCTGGTTTAAACATCAAACATGCTAGATATCAATGAAATAGGCTTTTCAATCTGATTTAGGGGTTTCACTCATTTTGCCTTGAGCTCCTTGATAGGATTGATCAGATCGATGTTGTGAAACTTTCTACCCACTCTGATCCCGCTCCTGAATGCCAGGCAAGGCTTTTTTATTCCCTTTTCCATACTTCTCCCCTGATGATTCGACAGACTTTGTGTTCTTGTAGTCGTGACTGGGAAAAATTGAAAATAAGACGCAATTGGCAATGAGGCACCTTTTCCTGTCCTCCAGCCCGAGCTGCAGCCACGGCCGAACCACAGGCAAAGATCAAGTGGGGGAGAAGAAAGTCACCAGGCTGGAGATATTCAAGGTGTTGGGAGGTAGAGTCTGTCTCAACTCTTGGACAACCGGCCCATTGAGTTCCGCGTCTCCTGGCCTAAAGCAGTTACTTATTTAGTGACCCTGACGATCTTTTGCATACGGGCCTGCTAAACTCCTAATCTTCGGGCCAAATTCTTTTTAAACTTGCTTGTCTCTGTGATAACAGAATTTCAAACTTGGCAGTACCATATCAAAGATGACTGCTCCAAAGAGGTAAAACAGAAATATCCCAGAAAAAAAGCTAAAAGTTCTGTAGCCCGTTTGGAAATGTGAGACATCATATAGTTATCCTCCTGCTTCCCCCCGCCTTAATTTATTAGTCAATTCTTTTTGAATGAAAATAAAATCGGTAACGTGTAATCTCCTTAGGTCTTAGTTAATAAGCACATTTTCTCCTAAATGCCCCTACCAATGTTCATTTCTCAGGGGCCAGGCACACCTGTCCCGATTCCACTAGCTGGTCCCTTAAAGATGGGGGAGGAAGCATGGCTCCCTACTAAGATGCAGGGGCTTTGTGGGGTGTAAGTCTTGAACGATGGTCAATAGCAGGGTAATCTTGTTTAAAAACAACTGCAACAACAAAACACTGTGACTTATGATTTAAACCACATTCAAACAGGGTTCAAGATGAGAGCCAACATTCAAGTGAGGGTTGGCATTAAACCTCATCTAAGGCCTGAAAGGGACTTCTTTCTCTCTCTCTCTCTCTCTCTCTGGACAGAACCAATATTTCCATTACAGAGACAGTGTGAAACAGACCAGTTTCAGCAGAACATCCAAGCCATAATTTGGCTTTTCATGTGTGCCTCTGTGGGTTCCCATGGTACTGCAAAGGATGTCTTCAAGAACAGTTTCCTTTCTGGTACTTCCCTCCTTGACCTCCTAAGGACGTCTCTGTTGGATGCATTCCTACCCTACTTAATATCATGGATGGAAAAATGTCGAGGAAAAAAAAAGAAGAAGACAGGTCATCTCCAGCTGGATAAGGATGAAGACAAAGAGGAAGCAGGTGTCCAAATCAAGCCACATACAGCCAGATGTCCTTAGAACGGCCCATCATCCTCCAAGGTAGCCAACGCCACAGAAGGTCAGTGCACCTGCTCATCCTCCCCCTCCTGAGGAAGGAGAGGGCAGGGGGTCACCATCTCACCACCTGGCTATTGTAGTCCTCAGTGACCGCCCCCTCTGTGTTCCCATCCTCTTTGGGCCACCGGTGGCCCCTATGCTCCCGCTGCAGCCTGCGCTCCTCCCGCCTCTTTTGCCGGTCCCTCTGGTGCTCTAGCTGCTTGGTGTGGTGGTAGCGCTGCTGGAAGAGGTCTTTCGCGTACTCGTAAAGCTGCATGTCCAGGAAGTTGAGCTCCTCGATGCGCTGGCGGGCGCCCTCGTTGATGTCCACGTTGGAAGCCCGCGTGATGTTGAACTGCGTGAAGGGGGAGATGAACTTGAGGTTGAATGTCCTCTCAAAGAGAAACTGTGTCTTCCTCTGGAATTCCGTGAGCCCAAAGAAGGCCATGTTCTTCAGGTTGTTCTTCGCGCTCTGCAGCAGGATGGTGTTTCTCTCGCTCTCATTCATGAAAGTCAAGTTGTAGCAGCCCACCAGGCTGAGGTCGGCCAGCATGCGCACCTGGCGGTTGTTGGCCAGGTTGTAGGTGCAGTCCATGAACTCCCGCAAGCTGACCCCAGACCAGTCATCCCCGGGGTAGCAGGTGGGCAGCTCATCGGGGGTGGGGCTTCTCCCATCACACATGTGGAGGGAGGTTTTCCACGTGGCCCCTCTCTGGACGTGTTTCCACTCGCTCAGGTAGCGCGACACCGGGTCCCGTAACATGGTGATGTAATAGAAATTCCTGGAAGAAATGAGAAGGAAGAGTGTCAGCCTTTGACAATGACAGCGCTGGGATTCTGAACCTCCATAGTGTTTATAGCAGCACTGAGTCAACAGGTTCTTCTGCCAAATGTTCGGGTGAGAGCAGTTGCCTGCATTTGCACCTATCAGGCAAATGCCCCCATATATGCGTGTTTTCATAAACATGCGTGGACTGGTTTTCAACACCATTTGTTGATGTTTCCTCCCTGCTCCAGTGTGGGGAGGGAGGCGGTGGGGGCGATGGGCAATTCATTCATTCAGCAGTTTATTCATTGATAAATTGCTACTGGAAATAATACCTTACAATAAGAGAACACACCAAGATTTTTGAAAGTTACTCCCCAGCCAATATTTTATTTGTAGCAGATGTGGGACTATGTGATAAGGAAACATGTGTGGAGGTGAAGTGATTTATCCAAGGTTGTGGGACTAAAAAGGGCAAAGCTAGAAGCCAAGCCTCCTTAGTCTTTTCTGTTTACACTGCTGTTCTGGCTTACAAGGTAGGTGGGGTTGGGGGGAAGATGTGTTGTGTGTGGAGACCGATATTTATTGAGCACCTACTACGTACTGGGAACTGTGATAGGTACTTTATGATACTAGCACTGATAATCCTCAGCACAGTTTTGTCAAATGGGCTTTATTATTACTTTTTTTTTTTTTTTAAGCTGAGAACATAGAGACTGAGAATTTAGCCCAAGATCCTAGGACAAATTAATATGTGAACTGCAATGGAGTCTAGGTCTATTGATTTTAATGCCTCTGTGCTTTCCTGTGCACAATATTGATATTTTAAAAACAAAAATATAATTAAAATGTATTGAATGCCTATTGTCAGGTGCTGTGGTTATTGTAATCACAGGTCTTAGCTAATGGCATCAAATGGAACCTTGAAAAGAAATATATATATATTTTTAAATGGTTAGCTTCAGGATGATCCAGTAAAGATCAGGGTGCTTTTGGCTTCAAGGGGCAAGAAAAGTGTAGAGAGGCAAGAAGAGAGTTGGAAAAGTCGACAGGTAAAGACACAACACAAAGCATTAGAGGAAAGTAACTGTTGATTTAAAATGAGCAAAATCCTTCTCCTAATTTGAACAGCCTGCCTACGGAACAGGCTGCCCACCCACCACTGTCACAGGAGCTACCCCTGAGCAGAGGGGGTCCCCTGAGCAGGCACATGATCCTAAAGAGCTGTGAAAGGAACACGGGGCTTCCCTTGGCCAAGCGAAACTGACTTTTAAAAGAAATTAATACCCAGTAAAAGCAATGACCAACAGAAGGGCTTTAAGGGTGTAGTGCTTTTTTATGCTGCTTTTAAAAAAAAGGAATCAATGAACTATAATATTTAAAACTCTACATTTACTATATTCGGTTCTTTTGAATGCCTAGCCAGACCGTTTTGAAATGTGCTAAGAGAACTACAGTATCTTAAGAAACGCTAGCTTCTCCTTAAATTAGAAAGAGGAACGTGCTGAGACGGCCACAGACAGGCCAGCCTGAGCCCTTGCCTTTGCCAATCATCATTTTACATTACTCTGTTTTTTGTAGTGACGGAATGACAATTTCATCAGTGGAAGGAAATTTCCTGAAAGGTCAGTAGGGAAGGCAGAAAAGGACTGACACAGCTTCTGGGCTCCACAAGGAAATGTCGACGGGAAAGTTTTGTTTGGAGTGGCTGTTACTATGGTTGAATATTATATGACAGGTCATTTATTAATCTTGCTTTGGTCCTATGTCAGGACTTGTCTATGTTTCAATTTTACAAGCAGAGACTGATTTTTATTTCACAAAGCAAGTGCATAATAAATATAGAAACACAAGAATGATGATAGTGATGTAACTCAGGTGGGTTAAGGCTGCCAAACACATCCAGACAGAAGAATTTAAATCAGAGAGATCTTTACATGGAGTCACAAATGGGACATTTATAATCTTCCTATAATTGGGCAAAACAGATAACACAAAAAGAGGATTTAAGGAAAAAAGATGATGATGATCAATGGATAAGTCTCAACCTCATTCGTGTGTCTCAGATTTAGAAACGATCCTGATTTTTAAAATAATCATAAGAGCTGAAGGATCTTAGGGGCAAGAATTACAATGGTTTATGACATAAGGGTTTACCTGGAACCTATTCGTGGAAGCTTAGTGGCTTTTGTCTCACTCGGGAAAAACTGGCCATAGACTTCCTGGGGCTTTCATTCCATTGGAAACTTAAATTTGTCTCAAAGCTGACTGAAGCTGGTGTGGCTTAAAATGGTATTGGTTTCAAATTTAACGTCATTCAATTTAACATTGCACTTAACAATGACTAGCCAAATCATAGGGTGATGCTTACATGAGTAAAATAAGTCCCAAATGTCTGCAAGGTCTACCAGCCAATTGAATGACTGGAGATTGAATTGATAAGAGATCAATTTGTAAATAAAACTCTGACATCAAGACACAAAAATGTACAGGTGGGACATTTATATTGTGAAGTACAAACCTGTCCCATCTCGTGGTTCTGGAATGGAGTGGCTCATATAGCATTTGGGTATTGCTTTAGTCAGACATATTCTCATGTATGTTTTGTTTATTTGTTTAAATCCTGCCAAGGGGGCAAAATAGAAAGTTAGAAAAATAGGAAAAATAAGCCAACAGGGTTGAAGAGCACTCAACTATTGGAGAAAGCAAAAACACGTAAAATTGATCCTGGGAATCACCTTTTCTCATTTCTATTTTTTTCTTTTTTCATTTGCTTCTCTACTTTCAGATAAAAAACTGCAAAGATCAGTATTGAAATGATGGCTACGTCATTGGTGGTTGTTGTACACAAGCTTTGTTCCAGTTTTTGAATCTCCAAAACAAGGCGAACTCATTTTCTTCTGCTCTCCAAACACCCAATTCAGTTTCTAGGGAGAAATCTTAGAGGGTTCTGTACCACTGGAATTTGCAAGTTTCCCTTTTTAGGCTTTACTTGTTCAACAGCACAATGGACGGTAAAACAAAACAGAGAAGGACAAGCAGCTCTCCAGCAAAGGGATCTGTTAATTCTGCAAACGTTAATCGAACATCGTGTTTGCCAAACACCCGGGGGAGGCATCGGGGACTCAGAGATTACTAACACGTTGCCCTCAAGGGGATCGCCAGCACTCAGGGATTTTGGTGCAGTGAAAGAAATGCTAACTACCATGTTAAGGGAATGTTCTACCAATCTCCCGGGACCAGAGCAATCTCCAAGACAGATAACTTTATTTGTCGGTGACAGTGTTCTATCAGCAGGTCAGCTGTTTGCCACTTCCTTCACTGAGAGTTTGGGTGAATTCATTTAAGGGCGTCTGTAAGGCAATTGCAGCTCTTTAGAATTGTCATTCTTGGGGCCCTAAGGTAATGATGGCAAATACACGTGTACTCAGGAAGATTAGGGAACAGGGCACCTTGGTCAGTTCAATGATCGTTTTAACAGAAAATGATCATAGGGGCCATTGCGGCGTCCTCAAGTTCAGAGGCACAGAACACACACTTTTTCACAGCTGCTTCAGCGTCTTGCTCTGCTGTGAAGTAATCATGTCGTGCAATTCTGAATGCAGCACAGAGGCATGACCGCCTTCCCTCCGTCTTTGCCTTGTCCTTTGCTCATCTGCATCCTGTGAAAAACTTCCTGGTCTTTTGGGGCCCAACTCAAGCCTCCTATCCATCTTGCCTGACTTTTCCAGTCTCGAGGGTTTTACTACATCGCTTGCTGCACTTTTAACTTCCATGTGAATGTCTTGGTCACCTCTACCCTTAAATCTCCTCTTTGAAACCTGGACTCAGGCCTCAGGTCCCAGAACACTTCACCCAAAGTCATACTCATGGCAGAAGTTCAACACCCAATGCTCCATGAAAGAGATGATCATCATAGAAGATAAATGTATGTTAATGACTAAGGTTACTTTTGCCTTTTTTTTTTAAAGATTTTATTTATTTATTTGACAGAGAGAGACACGGCGAGAGAGGGAACACAAGCAGGGGGAGTGGGAGAGGGAGAAGCAGGCTTCCTGCTGAGCAAGGAGCCCGATGCAGGGCTCGATCCCAGGTCCCTGGGATCATGACCTGAGCTGAAGGCAGACCCTTAATGACTAAGCCACCCAGGTGCCCCCAATTTTGCCTTTGATAAATACTTTCTGTCCTTTCCTAAAACTGATCTGATATTATTTTTGACTGTCTAAAATGTGTGAAAAGAGTAGAAAGAGACATAATCTACGAACGTATCCATCATTTGATTGTGATGGTCCACACGCAGAGAAGGAGACACTCAACACAGATTTTGGGTAAAAAGTAGAGTGTTTCAAACAACAGGTAATTAGGAGCGATGAGGTGGCTTTTTAAAAATGTTAAGTTTACTAGTTTTCTTCCCTACTGCTTCAAGAACCTGTATTTCACCAAGCAGTTTATTGTATAATTGCTCATTTCTTTAATTAGCAAGCCATTGAATTAACACATGCTTATCGAGGGCTTGTTATGTGTAAGGATCTGCTCTAGCAAATGTGGAGAACATTAAAAAAAAAAAAAGAATAAAATGCCCTCAAGTATTGTGGGTGTAAGGATGGTAGATTAGAAAAAGACACTGGGTAGCAAGCTATGGAGGTAAGGAGTGGACAAGCAACACTGAAGAGAAGAGTTAAGAATGTACAGAGAGCAGAGTGGTCTAATTAGACCAGGAAGTTCATGTTGTGCATTTCACAAAATGTTTGCTTAATAAATGAATAGATGGTAGGAGGGCATACGTGAGAAGAGCATGCTGGCCCCAAGGAGTCATGGGCTCTGAACAACTGTCAATTGCTAAAATGGGAAAAGTGTTGATTTGATCATTAGGCAACAGGGTTCAGGATGGACAAAGTAGGCAGAGCCAGGACAGACATTTGGTAGCTGTGGTGAAGGGCCAGTGGGGAAGAGCCCAGAACCACTGGTATTAACAAGGAAGAAATCAGGGACAGATTCATATCATGCACCCATGTG